TGCCTGAGTGTCCAGTCCAATTGTTGGGACGTGATATGCTATCCAAATTACAAGCGCAGATTACGTTCCTACCAAATGGAACAACATCCTTAAAGTTTAATGGACCTTCAGGTATTATGACATTGTCCGTACCAAAGGAAGAAGAGTGGCGACCTTATACAGTGTTGACTAGCCAAAACCCGAGGAGTGATGAATCCTTATTTAACATACCAGGAGTTTGGGCAGAGAACAACCCACCAGGACTGGCCCGCAATATTCCACCCATTAAAATCGAACTAAAACTTGGGGTTTATCCAGTAAGCCTGAGACAATATCATATTCCGCAGAAGGCTAAGAAGAACATCCAATCTTATCTGGATAAGTTCATACGGTATGGTATCCTAAAATTCTGTACTTCCCCCTGGAACACCCCATTGTTGCCTGTTCAAAAGCCCGGTACAGATGAGTATCGACCTGTGCAGGACTTGAGAGCAGTCAATGATGCGGTTGTTAGTATACATCCAGTCGTGCCCAATCCATATAACCTGCTTGCTTTAATTCCGGGCGGGGCTACTTACTTTACAGTCTTAGATCCCAAAGATGCCTTCTTTTGCCTCCGAATTGCCGCAGAAAGCCAATGTATCTTCGCTTTCCAATGGGAAAATGCTGTAACGGGCTCGAAACGCCAAATGACCTGGACAAGATTGCCCCAGGGGTTTAAAAAATTCACCTACCCTATTTGGTTCAGCTCTAAGTCAAGATCTACTAGATTTCGAGTCTATCCCAGGAGAGTGTGTATTATTACAATATGTAGATGACTTGTTGATAGCAGCAGTTACAAAGGAAGCATGTCAGCAAGCAACGCACGATCTACTACACATTCTCTGGAAGGCAGGATACAAGGTGTCAAGAAGGAAGGCTCAGTTGTGTTTGCCAACTGTCAAATATCTGGGAATCCATATCTCTGAAGGTCAAAGAATTATGGGGCCAGAGAGAAAAGAAGCTGTGTGCCAAATACCGATACCCAGGAATAGAAGACAAGTGCGAGAATTCTTGGGGGCAGCAGGCTTCTGTAAGATATGGATTCCCAGCTACGCGATACTGGCAAAACCTCTGTATGCAGCTATCAAAGGTACAGAGCACGACCCCTTCTTATGGACTCAAGAACAGCAAACGGCATTCGAACATGTGAAGAGGGCTTTGATGAGTGCCCCAGCATTAGGTCTACCTGACCACACACGGCCATTCTACCTGTATGTACATGAGCAAAGAAGAATGGCTGTGGGAGTATTGACACAGTATTTGGGATCATGGCAAAGACCTGTTGCCTACATGTCTAAGCAACTGGATGCAGTGGCCAGCGGACTTCCACCTTGTCTAAGAGCTGTAGCTGCAGCCGCCCTGCTAGTAGCTGAAGCCGATAAACTCACTCTGGGTCAAGAACTTTATGTACGAGTTCCACATGCAGTATAGACGTTGTTGGATTACAAAGGAAATCATTGGTTTAGTAACAGCCGTATGACCAAGTATCAAGCAATGTTGTGTGAAAACCCAAGAGTGCATTTAGAGACCGTAAATACCTTAAATCCAGCTACCCTTTTGCCACAACCTACTGAAAGTCAACATGATTGTTTGGAAGTAATGGATGAAGTATTTTCAAGTAGACCAGATCTTCGTGATTTTCCCATCCAGAACCCTGATGTTCAATATTACACCGACGGCAGTAGTTATGAAAAAGAAGGGATCCGCTATGCAGGATATGCAGTAACAACGATAGACAAGGTGATAGAAGCTCGGCCACTGGCAAAAGGAACATCAGCACAAAAGGCAGAATTGATAGCACTGACACGAGCGTTACAATTGGCTGAAGGTTTAAGAGAGAACATCTACACGGACTCCAAGTATGCGTTTTTAACCACTCATGCCCACGGAGCTTTGTATAAAGAAAGAGGACTATTGAATTCAGAAGGCAAAGAAATCAAATACGCAGCTGAGATCCCACAACTATTGGAAGCAGTGTGGGAGCCGAAAGAAGTCGGTATTATACATTGTCGGGCGCATCTGAGAGGAGATGGTGATGTAACCAAAGGGAATCGGATGGCAGATAGTGCAGCTAAGCGTGCTGCTGAATCAGGAAGACAGGAATATGTGGGCATATAGCTGCTCTTATACCAACTCCACTGTCTCAATGGACTCCAATTTATACAGCTCAAGAAGAGGAGTGGTTAAGGACTGAACCTGGAAAGTATTTGGAGAACAAATGGTATCAGTTAGAAGATGGAAGAATAGTTATTCCAGCATCACTAGCGGCAGAAATTGTCCAAAACTATCATAACGGGACACATTCTGGGAGAGACAGTACAGAAGAATCTCTCAGAAAACATTTCTACATACCAAGATTGTCCAACTTGACTCAGGCCATTGTACGTAGATGTGTAACGTGTGCAAAAAATAATGCAAGACAAGGACCAGTAAAGCCACCAGGAGTCCAGTTTATGGGGGGACTTCCCATGTCCGATTTACAAATTGACTATACAGTGATGCCTAAATCGGGTGGACATCGCCACCTGCTGGTAGTGGTGTGCACCTATTCAGGCTGGGTAGAAGCATGTCCTACTCGTACAGAGAAAGCAGGAGAAGTCGTGAGATTCCTGCTACGAGAAATAATACCCCGATATGGACTACCCTGCTCTACAGGATCGGACAATGGTCCAGCTTTTGTTCATCAGTGCCTACAACAATTGACTCATATGCTTGGTATAAAGTGGAGGCTTCATACGGCATATAGACCCCAGAGTTCTGTAAGGTAGAGAGAATGAATAGAACTATTAAGAATCAGTTGGCTAAAATGTGTCAGGAAACCCAACTTAAGTGGAACGTTCTCTTGCCCATAGCTCTATTGCGAATCCGCAGTACACCTACCAGAAGGATGGGCCTCTCTCCTTTTGAA